TTAGTTAATAAATTCTATTACTAGAGATTTGTTTCAATTATATTTTAAAATATTATAATTGATTAATTTTTTAAGATTTCATTTTTGGTTATTTTACATTCTTATTAGCTAGTTTTACCAAAAATAATTTGTTAATCAGTTAGTTTACCAAATATAGCTTAAATCTTAAAACAAAAAACAGTAACACATTTAGAAAAATAATTTAATTATCACATTTGTTGGATTTCTTTCCCCATCGTTCCCCCAAAAGGCTTAATTATTTCATTTGTTGCATTTCTTTAGTACTCCCATCGTTCCCCTCATCGTTTTAGGGGCTGTTTACCTGCTTCTGACCATCTCTTACCGGCAGGATGTTCTTGCCCAAGTAAGAGGTGGGTTGTTTACCAAATGAAAAAACACAGCTCTAACTATTTACCATGCTCTGACCGTGCTTTGTCCAGAGACAGAGTTAGAGAGGTGTCTTTCCAGAAGCAGAGATGAAGTTTCCCATGTTTACCCTTACAATCACCAACTAACGAAGGGGCACCAATCTACAAGAATCTCCACTAAAAAAATAAAAAAAAATGGGAGCAACTACAAGAATCCAACCTTATCCTTATTATCTATCTCCATCATCCACCTCTTCCTTTCTACTTTCATTTCCAAAAAACCCACTTACCTTATAGGGTTTTCTCCACCCCATAGATGAATCCACCTCGAACACTATACTTATTAAACGCACCTGAAAGACCAAAACAATTTAGACATGAGAGATAGATGAAGGGTTTCTGAGATCTTTAGGAAGAGAGTCGAAAATTATATGGTTTTTTTGGAAAATGAGAAGTTTTGACTATTTGGAGAAGAAAGGTATTGATAATGCCAAGTGAGATCCAAAGGGTTTCACATGTCAATTGATGGTGACAGATTTGGAATAAGTGTTGTCCTTTTATCAAAGAAATAAAAGGTATTAGCAATATTTAATTAGAAAATAATAAACAAAATGTGACTGATAATAATTTACAAAATATTAATATTCATCATTTATCTATTAATTAATATTTAATTATTAATTCATAGATATTAATATTAATTATTTAATTATTACAACATTACTCCATAGATAAGGGTATAATGGTCATCTTTTACCAGTCAGCACATGAAATAAAACATTTTGGTAAACAACAATTTCAGTCAGCACTTACCTCATTCAGACCTCTTATCTCAATAAGAACTCTTACCCAAATCAACACTTAGTCAAAAACATTGGTAAACAACCCCTTAATCGTTCCTCCTCATCATCTTCGCCAATTCACGCTCACGGAATCACGTTCTGCTCGTCTTCACTCCCACGGGCTCACGCTCTCATTTGTGCCCTGTACTTGAGGTATGTTCCATTTTTGCTATTCGTTTTTGATTTGCTACTCTATTGCTCTCATTTGTTTTTAGTTGCCCAAGTACCGTGTTCTTGATGTTGTGTGAGACCTAAACTTATCGATGTTGTGCCCTAGACTTCAGGTATTATCTTAGTTTTCGATGATTTGTTTATTAATAATTTTGTCTAATATCAGAGCATTTCACATTTATTTTATTTCCGTTACTATTATTGTTATCACAACGCTATGAGTAGAATATACGATCTTTGTTCTAAATCTAGTAGATCCTAGCCATTTTCATTTTCTTTGTCGACCTGTTTTTTTTCTTTCTAAATCATGTGTGGATCTGTTATCTACATATCACCATCAAGTTTCTAGCAAGTTCAAGTTATCACTTCTAGTTTTCTCTTAGAAAAGTAATAAATAGGGTTTTTTTTTTTAAAAAAAATATATGATAAATTAAAAATCTAAAAAGCAAGGGCAAGGCTAAACATTTTTTTAAGACCCTTGGAAATAGGGATGGTGATTTGGCCCGACCCGGTGGGGAACCCGGTTCACCCGACCCGGACGGGGACGGGGATTCCCCGCTAAAACGGGTACCGGGGCCGGGGCCGGGGATCCCCGGTAGAGGCAAACCGGGGTTGGGGCCGGGGCCGGGTATTGTATCCCCCGACCCGCCCCGTACCCGGTATATATATATAAATATTAAACATTTTTATTATTTGGGCTTATAAGTGATATATATAATTGGGCTTAGATTTATTATGGACTTGGGCTTATAAGTGATATATATAATTGGGCTAAAACGGGTGTTGACCGGGTGTTGACCGGGGTTGACCGGGGGTTGACCAGAGGTTGACCGGGGGTTGACCGGGGTTGATCGAAAGTTGACCGGGGACGGGGCCGGGGCCGGGGACTATTTATATAAACCGGGGCCGGGGCCGGGGATTGCAAACCCCGCCCCATCCCCGCCCCGTTGCCATCCCTACTTGGAAAACCGTCAGTAACAAGAACCCTCGGAAAGCCGTCGGTAACTATAATTCTTGGAAAGCCATCGGTAAATAGAACTGCTGGTAAAAATATAACCGTCGGTGAGGAAAACCCTTGAAAAGTTGTCGGTAGGATAACCGTCGTAAATCCGTCGGAAATAAACCTAATCGAAAAACCGTCGATAAATGTCGTGGCTAAACCGTTGATAAATTTAGCGACCCACTTTTGCCGACAGTTTGTAAAGCCGTTGGTAAAGGGCATTCGACGGGTTTTGCCATCGGTGATATATATACTTGCATAATAAACCGAATATAGTTCTTATAATGAATCTTCCTTTGAAATGGCTACTAGTCCCTTCGTTACCTTAGAGTAGCGTCTCCAAAAACTTTTATCAGACACTACAACAAAATCGGGTTTATCAGACACTTCAAAACTCTAAGCGTCATAATAGACCTCTTTAGAGGACTTAGTTTATAGGACCAAAAAAATAAAGTGTCCTATCTAAAGGTGTTGTATTAAGTTTATATGACGTTTTTTGATGTCGTAATAAGTTTTTAGGACACCTTTAATATAAAATTCTCATTATCAACTTTATAGGACACTATTTGAAAAATTGTCCTATAAAACACAAGTGTCTTATAAAAAATTGATTTTATAGGACAATTTCTCAAAGTGTCCTATAAAGTTGCTAATGTGACACTTTGTATTAAAAATGTCCTCAAAAACTTGTTAAGACGTCCAAAAGCGTCATATAAACTTATTACAACGTCTTTAGATAGAACACTTTATATTTTAGTTCTATAAAACGGTCTATTGGGACACTTCGAGATTGGGGGCGTCCTATAAACCCAATTTTGTTGTAGTGAGATGACAAGTTATTGAAAATGTGCTTATCTTGGATGCAATGTACGGTTTTTGTTTTCCAAAAACTTGAATAAATTAAATGGTGGTAACATTTGTATTTACGAAACTGAAATAGGCTTGTTTTTATTCGTTTTTTTTGTCATTCTTTACATAGCTTTGTAGGCCTAAGTTACATTTATTATTTGGCATGAAAGATGTGCCGAGATAGAAATATGAAACTCGGATTTGAGTTTTCTTTCTTACTTTGTGACACATATACAATGTGATCGACCAAACTGATGTATTGATGGGCCTTACTACGACTAAACTCGTTATCAAACATCTCAAAAATATTAAATCTTACACAACGAATGTAAGGAACAATTAATTGGAAGTTTATCATGACATACACATTGTCAACTCGACATCAAAACTCATAAAACACTGAAACTTGCCTTCACGATCAATTTATGTACAAGTGTGTGTAGCATGAGAGAAATTGCCCGTGATTGTGAGATTTAAGTCATAAATCCACAAACACTAAGGTGCCGTTTACAAAACGCTTACTTGGGTAAGCGCTTACCAAAGCAATTTACTTTATCGAATGAATATGACAAAGACTAAGAATATTACCCGGTAAGAGCGAAAAGAAGAATTTCGAGTCTTAACCAGTAAGTGAGGACAAAGACTCTTACCATGGTTAGCGCTTACCGCGATAAATTGTTGCATACGATGCGTTTTAGTGAATAAAATCTTGTCCGGTAAGTAAATGATAGTGTTAATTTTACCGATAAATTCTTACTTGATAAGTATTTAAGTAAACGATCCCTAACTCGTCTAGTTTGTGAGATTTAATAGAATTTGAAATTAAATATCATTACAATCTTATCTTTAGTTTCAAAGAAAAGTCGGGAATTAAAAATTTTAAATTTCAATTAAATTTAGAAAAAAAAAACTAGATTTATAATGTTAAAGAAATGACATTTTATATATTATACATGGATGATCATGGATGACATTACCATCCCAACAACATCATGGAAAATGGCATTACACAAGTGAAACATTCACTTCAAATATCCCTATCATCATCATCATCAACATCAACATCAACATCAACATCATCCTCATCATCATCATGTGGTTGAAAACATTGATCCCAAACTTGTATTCTTGTGGTAAACGATTATGTTATTTTTAATTAGCATATAAAAATTGTGGTGAATAGATATGAAAATCATCATTAATTTATTACAAATATATAACTTTGACTAATTACGTCAATAATAACCATACTTTCGTTCCATTTACACTTTTAAAACACGTTTTATCATATAAATTTATTTTTTTAAAACATGTACTTAAAAATCCGTACGTCTAATTTAAGAATACAACACGTTAAATTTCACCCACGTTCCATTATTAACATCGTGTATATTACATCAATTATTTTTTAAAACGTAAATTATGATTTCTCGTATCTTTATTTAAAATTTATATACGTAGCTAGGTATTTAAACTTTGTACTTGTAAATTTATTCAAAAGTGTTTAGTTTTATATTACATAAATAATTCCAATTATGTTTGTGCTCATTTTTCTATGTCTCCCTCATAGATTTTGTTTCAAATATTTAATTTGGGAAAGCATGATTTTGCCAACCTTTTGAAATTTCTTTGCTTAAAAAGTCATAAATACAATTAAAAAAACAGATGCACAAATTAGGTTTGACCTATGAACAAGTGGTATAGAATCAAATCTTTGTGGTTCTTATATATATTTCTTATACATTATTTTATAAAAATAATATTATAAAAACCAGAGTTTTAATACAACGGACACAACAGACGAGGAGTCGGCACGGCTACAAGTCGTATCGCCTTTGGGGCTGTGAGCCCGAACACGTCGCCCATGTCGATTTCACTTGGTTTCATTCCATCTGGTAGTTCCCAGTTGAAACAATGAAGAAGGTGCACGACTGCCATTTCCATTGCGTACAACCCGAGTTGCATTCCTGGGCACGACCTTCGGCCCGACCCAAATGGGAGAAACTCGTAGTTGCTTCCCCGAAAATCTGGGGCTCCGTTTTGCAGAAAACGAGATGGATTAAAAGTATTAGGGTCTGTCCAAGCGTTCTTGTCACGATTGATGGCGTAGGAGTTGACCATGACACGTGTCCCTTTTGGGATGTGGTAGCCGGAAACCTCCGTGGCTTCTGACGATTGGTGGAGCAGAACGGGGATCGGAGGGTGCAGACGAAGGGTTTCCTTGATGACACATTTGAAGTAGGGCAGTTTCTCGAAGTCGGACTCTTCGACACGACGGTCAAGACCAACAACGTTGGTCAACTCTTGTTGCACAAGCTTGAGCGCTTCGGGTGTATGCATGAGCTCCGTCATGGCCCATTCAATCGCAGAAGCAACCGTCTCTGTACCACCAAACATTACGTCCTGCAAACAATTCAACAAAATTTTCATCAAAATGATGTAATTTTTTGTGTTAGTAATAATTTACCATGAATCAAAAGCTTTTCTTTACTTTTAATAGAATACAAGATGATGTAAATAAATACCCATTCCTCCCAAAACATATATCATCATATAATTTTATAAATACGTAATTATTATACTTTTTAATTAAGTAAATGATAATTATAATAAAGTAATTCCATTTTATAATTAAAGGTAAATATACTTATTTAAAATAAACTAAAATAGAAAATAAATTTAATAAATTATCATTCATAATTATTAAAAAATGAGTTTATAGAATTTACCATGATTATGGCTTTGATGTTATCTCGGGTCAGCTTGATGGCGTTCTGCAAATCCTCGGCTTCGTTGGTTTTTCCTTCCTCGCTGTAAAACGCCAACATCTCATCAACCATATCGTTATCCACATTTTCATCGCCGACCTTTTTCTCTTTTGCCAAGTGTTGGTCGATGATTTTGTCAATAAACCCATCCAACGCAGCTCGAGCCGCAGGTAAACGGGTGTTCAACCCAGCCGGGTCAATGAAGCCGAGCCATGGGATAAAGTCAGCCAAGTTGAATGCACCAAAAAGCTTGGTGTATTCCTGTAGGATCCTAATAAACTCCTCTTTACCTTCATGCGACGTCGACCCGAAAGCCGCACGATAAATAATATCATGGGTCAACCCGAATACAAGCTCCCCCAAGTTTACCGGCAAGCCGGAGTTGGTGGCGGTGGTGGTCACCATGGAATCCACCTCATCCCTCACGGAATCCCACGACTCCGCCCGCTTCCGGCTGAACAGTTTCATCACACAAAGCTTACGCATCTGACGCCAGAAAGGTCCGTAGTCGGCAAACGCCATATCAACACGATCGTAGGTGAGGTAGGTGATGGCAATAGTGGCGGGACGGTTAGCAAAGATGTTATCTTGGACTTGAAGAATTTGGCGAGCTATCTCCGGCGAGGACACGGCAATGGTGTGACGGAAACCCATCTTGAGATGGAGGATGCCACCGTATTTTTCAGCCAAACGGGCTAACCCACGGTGGGTGAGCTGATCCATCATCAACATGTTGCCAATGACCGGCCAGCCCATAGGGCCGGGCGGGAGGTTTTTCCGGCGTAGCCATGCTAGAAAAGAAAAGGTTAAGAGGGCAATGATAACGTAGATTGATATGGGTATTTGGATAGAATCCATTATTGATTCAAGTGGAGAGATAAGTGGCAACTGGTTGGTTGTTGCTACCTAAGGAGTGAAATGAAGAGGTGTATATATACAGGTTTCATCGGGCACACCCTGTTTGAAAGTGTACAGTGATTTACTATTTATTATTAGTCTTATTTTTCTGAAATAATGAATGGAAAATATTGACTAAATCCGCTTGTCTTGAAATGCATTAATTAATTATTTATTTATTTATTATTATATGATATATAAGATTGAACGTCAAATCAAGAGAGTGGCCTACATCTTAATTTGGGGTGGTTGTATCTCTATGTATATGCATCCGATGTGATATAAAAAGACTCGGCCTTTATACTATGCAGTGATAATTAATTATAATTTAAAAAAATATATATATATTAGAGGGGTACCCAATGGGTTCCCAAACCCTCTAGGGATTCCTTCCCTCCAAACCCGTCGGAGATTAGTCGGGTTCGAGGTCGGGTCTAGTCTAGTCGAGGACTGGTTCGAGGTCGGGTCTGGTCTGGTCGAGGGATGCTTTATCCGCCCCGTACCATACTGTTTTCCAGGGCCGTCCCTTAACATGTTAAATGTGAGATTTTGATTAGGGCCTCCGAAATTTTGGATCCCAAATATACTTGTTAATCGTTTTAAGTTTAACCCATTTTTATTCTTGACATATATCATCTGTCATCTTATTTATGCAATGTAATCAAAAGTTTTGGATGTAGCAGGGCCTCCAAAAAGGTTGGAATGTCCTTGTTGTTTCCATCCTTGTTCACCATATTATTTTAGCCCCAAAATGGTTTTATGTGGACAAAAAAAGTAATTATCGATAACACCAATCAGTATCACACGGACATACGCACCGATGTAAGGGGATATTTTTTGTCTTTCTTAATGGTTGAGACTAACAAGGGCAGTTAGAACCCATGACCTATCATGTATTTGGACAAAGTCGTCCTGACTCTATGCCTACTGAGCTACACGTTGAAGGCTTTTTACATTATTATTTGACTATTAATCAAATATTTTCAAAATACTACTTTTACATAAATAAATAAAAAGTTGTGGCTAAAAGATTGGAATAAATATTATGAACAATTGTAACAAAATACACCTATTAGAATGTGTAGTAGTGTTTTACAAACCTATTTTTAGGATCCTTTAATTTATAGGATCAAAACATTGATGTCTTATCTAAATGTGTTACAATAAGTTGTTAAGACAAAGCTAAACGACCTAACAAATTCTATAATTATGAAATAAATTCAAGGGTCTAATAACATGTTTTATGTAACACTAAAAATTCCTAATAGCTAGAGTATAACGTAGGACACTTTTTATGTAGTTGTAAAATATGATTAACTACTATTACATTTAGTAATACATATCAGTGTCCCAATAACTGTTTTATAGGACACCAGTCTACAGATCCTACAAATTAAGAGGTTGTTTACCCAAACGTTTTACCTGGTAAGCACTTACTGATAAGAGTCAACACTCTCAATTACCTTACCAAGCAAGATTCTAAGCCACTAAAACGACACTATATGCAATAATTTTACCCGATAAACGCTTACTGAGTAAGAGTCAACAAACTTACTTATCGGGTAAGCCTACTGATCATTGCCATCCCTTTTACTAGGTCGATCATTGTCATGTTTATCCAATAAGGTAAGTGATCCGGTAAGAGCTTACCAAGTAAACATTTCATAAACAATTCATAAGTGTTCAATTAACTATTTCTACAAGATGTTGTACAAAAAGGTGTCCTACTAAATGTCGTATTATACTGTATCAATAAAAACACGTTAAGCGAAATGATGTATATTATATCTTTTATATGACTCTTCGAAATATGATTGTCATGTTATGTTGTAGTGGAAGCCCAGATGAAATTCTAGAAGTTAGTTTCCGTGTTAGAAACAACGTGTTAAGTTATCAAACTTCGATTATTTATTAATTTTATCCTGATACAGATCGACCTGAAAAGTAACTTTAGTTAAGATGTCTAGTTTTAATCGATCCACAATAATTTTTTTTTTTTGAAAGAAGATTGTGATCAACTCATATTTCATGTAGATATTGCATTTATTATGAGTTATTATCTCTTTTCTACAAAAGTAGTATTCTTAACCTCTACAAAAATAAATTCTATATGGAAGCTATTGTTTTTTTTTCTATCCCTGATTAATACCTTGAAACAATCATATTTTTCATTGCTATTGTGAACTATGGTTGTCTGGGTCAGCTTTTTTACGCCTCTACTAATCTCAGACGTCTTGAAAAGCGACTAGGAAAAAACTCAGTGGCCTTATAGAACTCGAACTGACGACCTCTAAGAAGGATCTGTAAAGTCCCTGGTATGATCTTGACATAACAAGGATTAAATATACATGAAATAAAAAAAGAATTGAAAGACGATGTAGAGTACGACAAACATATTGTTTACAAGATTGAAGCCAACAACCCTTTATGCGGACAACAATGTACACTACAACAAAATTGGTTTTATAACACTCATAGATTGTTAAAGCGTTCTAATAGAATAATTTATAGAACCAAACTATAAAATGTCATATTTAAAAGCATTACAATAGGTTATAAGACATTTTTAGGTGTTTTAATTAGTTTTTAGGACATCTCTAAAATAAAGCACTAAACCCATCATTTTATATGACATTTTTTCAAATAGTATTGTATAAAATAGTTAATAGGATACTTTATTTTAAAAGTGTTTTAAAGAGCTTGTTAAAACGCCAAAAAATGTTCTATAAACCTATTGTAACAATTTAAAATATGATACTTTTTGGTGTGATCGATCTTATAAACTCAAGTCCTATAAAATATATTTTTAGACACTTCTATAATTTAATCATCTTATGGAATCAATTTTGTCATAGTGATAATTGTTAAATTATTGCATATATTTAAATAAAAAGGAACAAAATAACAACAAACAAATGATAATTTGATGCAAAAGGTTCTAATTAAGTAAAAAAAGCGTCAAATGTTAAAAATACAATTTAACTTTTGAAGTCGTATTTTACAGTAATGAAATAAGAGTACAAGAAAAATCAAATGAGAATCTTAAATACAATTGACGTAGCACAAATTTTAGAGTTGACAAACTATATCACAGCTCAATGAAAGAATCAAAAACAAAATTGAAAGAAGCACAATCTGTTGTCAAACTTCTACACTAAAGCTGGAAGACATGACGTATGTGACCTCCTATGCGACTCAAGTCGCCTGAAAGGTCGCCCAACCCTTTGGAACATTTCAGGTCGTGTGGGTCATGCACGGCGTGGACGAGCTTGCATAATCTTTCACCGTTTTCATTTGATTTCCTAGTCCTTATTTCATTTTATTTCTCAATTCCTTTAGGTTTCTTTATTGTTTTAGATTTGGGTTATCTTTTCCTTCAATGCAAAACTTTGATTATTGATTAAGCATTTTAAAGTTTAATTTATCTCTACTTTCCAAGTTTTACGCTTGTAAATTCGTTATCACTTTAGGGTTTCAACGCTTGTCGATCCATCCATGTTTACTACTAAATCAATATTGTAATATGTGAGAAGCAATCTCAACCATTTAATCAATCTAATCAGCATTCCGTTTTAATTATAAAAAAGGCACTCACGTTACTTTAACCCTCTTAATTATCTTCCGTAATTCTCTTATTTGGTTTTTGCTTTACGGTTTTGATCTTATGACATCCTAATCCAACTGAAATATAACTTTATGTTGCATATTCATTGAACTTCAGTAACAAAGTCATCCATCCCCAAATCAAAAGTGTTATTAAGGACAGACATCTCGAATAACCTAACATAACATACAAGTATCGAGAAAATAATTTAACACGTAACCATTACAACGAAATTGAATTTATAGGACAACAAAAATGTTTAAATGTTCTAATAGACTGCTTAATATGACTTAAGTTTATACGACGACCATACAATAGAACGTCTATACAAAAGTCTTGCTATAAGTTAGTAGGACGTTTTTGGACGTCTTAACAATTATTTTTTAGGACATTTTAAAGGGAAATTAATTAAAATAGTCATTTTCAGATGTTGGTTTTATCTCTTAGCCATTTCTCTCATAAAAGTATCAAAATGTCATTAGGTCTGCAAGTGACAGATTCGCAATTGACGGAGGGGTCAAAATATAAAAAAGAGAAATTTTTTAAACTAGATCTGCAAGTGCAGGGACTAAATCTGTAAATTAGTCCTATATCTATCTTACAGATTTGGTCCTGCGCTTGCAGACTTGGTTTAGAAACTTTCTATTTTTACAATTTGACCCATCTGCAAATTACAGACCTGACATTTGCTGACCTAGTGACATTTTAGTGATTTTAGAAAAGAAATGGCTAAAAGGTGAAACCACAAGTCCAAAATAGTTGTTTTAATTAATTTCCCCGTTATAAAATCAAGTATTGTATTAGCTATTTTAAAGAACAATCTTGAGAAACATCCTACAAACACAATTTTTATTGGATGCTTCTCAAAAATGTCATATAAAATAACTTATACGACACTTTATTTTTAAAATGTTCTAAAAAGTTGTTAGATGTCCAAAAACGTCCTTCAAACTCATTATGACTTTTTTAAGTAAGACGTCTTATCATTTATATATCTTATAAACTTAAACCGCAACATGCCAACACAATAAACTCATTATTGATCCATGACAGGTCTAAGTTTTGGAGTATCCTGTCGTTTACATGATTCACAAGATCCAGCTAACTATCACAATTCACAATAATGAATTAATAATTGAAATACTGAAAGCAAAAATCTATGTTTCAGAAGTCTTTTTACTATACTTGCTATAAATTCCAATGTATTTATGCAATGATACATTGGAGGAATCTTAATTTGGTCCCTTTTTTCGTTATGGGTGTATGGATCAACTTATGTATACCTCGATTATCATAGAGGTCACGAAGAACGGTCAGAAAAATCTTCAGTGATCTTGCACACTGATGACTTCTGAGTTCGGAAAAGGATCCCTAA